GACATAGGTGGGATATCAGGGAGAAATGCTTTGTGAATCGTGTAGTCAGTAGCTAAAATAAGGTAGCTACTGCATTACTAGCATGCAGCACAGTAGAGGAACTTAAAAGTGGTCTAGGTAGATATTAGCCAGAAGGTTTTTGGAATTATTGCAATTTTCTTGCGTCATGTGACTTTAACTTGGCGATACATGGCAGTTTCGAGAATCTTTTCGCTTTTGCTTTAATCACTTGCAGAAGAAGCAGAAGTTTAGCAGACATCGCAATACAGCGAGCTCTTGTTTATTTACATGGGCAAGAAACCGGACGCTCATTAGTCAACTGTCTACATCTACCATAGAAGCTGACCTGACCTTGACCTTGCTTACAGAATCCGAACGACAATCTAATTATGAACACCTATTAATAATATAAGGACGCACGGCCCCACAGATTCATTCCAAGAAACGGAATGTTGCCAATTATTATGACTGTTGTTACTGCCACTTTCCCTACTTCGCAAACACGCTGCGACGTATTCGCAGCACCGCCACTCCGCAAAACCTAGTGAGAAATAAATAGTTTCGTGTCATTTTATGGCATGATTCCCGGCTATCTATGTGGCTTTGCAGTTTTATTCAATTCTGTGCATATGTGATATTGCATTTGTTGAAATGTGTCAGGTCACATACGCACCGTTACCCCGCAAAACCTAGTGCGCAATAAATAGTTTATGATCATTTTATGGCATTATTCCCGGCTATCTTTCTGCCTTTGCAGTTTTATTTAAATCTCTGCCAATGTGTTATTACAATTGTTTGAACGTGTCGGAGACCAGATACGCGGTAGAAACAGTATTTTCGAAATCGTACGCCATGGAGTCTTGTTTCCGTAGAATCTTCTTTGGGCGTTTTTTAACAGTTTTGACGAGTTTAATAGTTTGTTTTCAGACTTTATGCTTTTTCATTACGTCAATTTCGTACGCTACAGCAGCAGAAAATGTAACCTGTCACGGGTGAAGTACGACAAGTTGATTTATCGATGTGTCCGCTGCGCTCGGCGGAAGTCAAAAAGTACAGGAGTGAGACGTGTTTAGTAGGATTTCGCTTTTATTATTCTACATCTTTCAGTTCACGTGATACTAACTGCGTACTACGTACGCATGCAACTTCGTGATGCGCCATTTAGCACAACCCACGTTACAAGCAGTTTACTCGAACCTTGGAGATGGAGTGGTATGTAAATAAATATTTCTGACGCTTCCAGTTTGAGATATCGCACCAGGGAAACCGCTTCACCATCGATTGCTCCTTGGGAACATGTACCTGTCCTTTTTATGAAACTGTGGCTTCCGTGTATGCTTTTAATGACGGCATACAAGCAGCACGCGTATCCGACATGTAACCCGTTTCTGATATGTGCATCCATTTAAAGGCTAAATACCTATTTCATCCGCTGGCTAGAGGACGTTGAAAGTCCCCGTTACGAAACCATCTACGTCTAAAATTGCACATCTTTTACATCGTCTGAGAAGTGCTGAAGCGGTTAATCCATCCGGATTTTCGGAACTCTATGAAGAGCTATTGCGAAGGACTAACGAAGTAATTGGTGGTTCATCAGACTTTCAACGTGCAAAGAAACAACTGCGTTGGCCGAAAATTATGGCGCCCACAGGTTTGTGTTTCACATGCAGCAAGCCCATCGTGATTGACGCAGCTCGCGGTGCGCACAATCGATTACTTTAATATCGAAAGTGTTTGCGTGTGCAATCAGGAGCCCGTTGTACAATTTGTGTCAACGCTTCAAAAACGCTATCTGTGCCCATGAAGGCAGTGCAATGCTGTACTACCGGTAAGAATGCGACTTTTTACCTCGATATTTAGCTGTAGGCCGTGCACCCTCACCGGATTTCACAGTTGCCTCTACCCCATCAACCTGCCCCGCTTACGAAGGTAAGCGACAGCTTAGTATAACTAATTCCTGCGCAGACAGTCAGGATGAGATTACCGCCAATCCGAGTACAAGTCAACAAACCGTACCCCATATGGCACGTGCACTTGGTACTAGTGATCTATTTCCTCACCTTTCATCGATAGCTTGTCGAAAAGGAGCCGTGGAATTCCCCCTCAAACAGAGGTATTGTGCAGAATATAGTGCCAAAGTAAGATATTCGGTGCAATTTAGCTCCCATTTTCACTTCATTGTAGCGTCGACATGGATGGCAGCCCAGTAAAGAAAACGTAAAGGAAAAATCTTGTTCAGATAAAAGCTCTCATTCAATTACCCGACAGTAGACTATATGTTCGCACTACTATTATATTTTAGCCGATGAATACGACTTTGTGTAAAGATACCTTGCACAGGACATGCGCGTCCAAGACACGAATATAGTGAACAACGCTGAACGTTCTTTTGCTGCCTTTTGTTAAATACAATGCACAGTTTTTATATCGGTTTCTGCGCTCATTTGGGATTACAGCATTTTGAACAATGAACTGGACTAGCGGCACATTTGTTGCCAGTGTAATAGGACCCAGGTCGGTTGTATTTAGGCTCCAACAATGGCACATTTGGTATCAACGTAATAGGACGCAGTTGGGTTGTAATAACATACGGCTCGAAGTCTCGTGGTCGTTGTATATAGGCTCCATCAGTGGCACATTTGGTGCCGATGTAATAGGACACAAGTGGGTTGTTATAGCACACCATTCCAATTCCCGTGGTCGTTGTATATAGACTCCATCAGTGGCACATTTGGTGCCAATGTAATAGGACCCAAGAGGATTGTAATAGCACACGGCTCCAAGGCTCACGTTCGTTGTATATAGGCTCCATCTGTGGCGCAATTGGTGTCAACGTAATAGGATCCAGTTGGGTTGTAATAGCATACGGCTCGAAGTCTCGTGGTCGTTGTATATAGGCTCCATCTGTGGCGCATTTGGTGTCAACGTGATAGGACCCAGTTGGGTTGTAATAGCATACGGCTCCAAGGCTCACGTTCGTTGTATATAGGCTCTATCTGTGGCACATTTGGTGTCAGCGTAATAGGAACCAGCTGGGTTATAATAGCACACGGCTGCAAGGCTGGTGCTCGTTGTATATAGGCTCCATCAGTGGCACATTTGGTGTCAACGTAATAGGACCCAGTTGGGTTGTAATAGCACACCGCTCGAAGTCTCGTGGTCGTTTGGACGAGAATTAGTAATTGAAAGTCAATTTAGGGTTTGGGTTTGCGGCTACTGCAGCGCGTAATTATAATTAATAGGTGGCTTTCCGCATCTTGTTTACGATATTTTACCATGAAATTTTCGTTGCTGAAGTTCAAGCGGCGTTGGAAGATATACTGGGTGACCAAAAGGTCGTCCATAAGGTGTACACTTGCCCTGCTGAGGGCCCAAAGTCAGGTCATTTAGGGACTTACAACACTCAAACGACGGCACACGCCTTCGCTGCTCGCGCAGAAGGGATGCATCTTCCGTCAACGTTAAGTGCTAATCGAGTACAGACTAGTAAGTACGTACCAACACAGTGACGAATTATTCGTCACATATGGGTCGCTAAAAGTTACTTGTGCTGACCGAAAGTACGGTTTAAAAGGGTTTAACGCACTAAACAGCGCCGATAATTATTTAGAACATTAGTTAACAATATCCATGGACATATAAAGACATTTATGTTTATCTCCTTTTGCTTCTACGCGAGTGGCCAGAAGCACGCCTCAGTGGGAGGGCTTGCTGTACATATGTTTGGATAAAATGTTAATTCATAGCTATAATAATGCTGCATAAGATTCCTATGATTTTACAAAATTTTCGTTGTTAAATAAGCAACTTAATTATGTCTGCTAAGATGTATGCACCGCTAGGAAACTCACAAAACCCAAGTGTTACTTATTTCATTATATAAATAATGCGTTTCACATTAAAATTCCGAGACTAAAAATATCGGCACAATAGCAGACTAATTAAATAGTCCAGGACGAAACTAAAATTGGACGGCTTGAATTTTTAATAAATGGGTGTAGCGGTATGCTTGTCTTGTATACCTTGTAGTGAATGATTTCTACTTTAGTTGCCAATATTGCGTTACTGTTACGCATATTTAAGGCAAATATAGCTGCATGCATTACACTCTTCGATGTTTCTCCATCGATACGTGGACGCATAGTAACGCAAGTTAGATATTAGCAATTTTTGCAACACAGCGGGCCCAGCTGATTGAGTGGACACAAGTTTACATTCATTTCAAAACCGTTTTGCTGCACATCTCGTCTGTGTTCTGTTTTGCGTTTAACAAAATCTAGACTTGACGCCCTAAAGACGCATCATCTTCGTACTTCGATTTTCTTTTCTCTACCTTTCTTCACGTATTGGTATTATTTTCTTATTTAAGTGCACTTCCCTATTCTGTACCTTCGATTTCTCTTCCTATCCTTTGCTTATTTCACGTGACTGCCAAAGCAGGGACTGCTAGGGCAGGAAACGTGGGCATTAACTGGTTGGCCAGGGTGCGATACGGGTGTTTCCGTTTTAGATCCATCAATAACTGAGCACTTCATCAATTCCTGGCTCAACGATCCACTCAAGATGGAACACTCACGGGATTCTCCTATCTTTCCAGTTCCCATCTGAACTGAACTGAACTAACCCACGGACTAATAACGGACGCTCATGAAAACAAGCTTGTCACAAAAGAAAGCTGTTACGGTATCAGTTTCGGAAATCCAATGTTTCTAACGGACTTCCAAGACTGCGAATAAGTTAAATGCAGCATCCATGAAAACAGGCGACCTTATTTTGACTTATAGCATTACAATGCGCTTACTGTGCAATATTAGACATAAGGTTGTGGAAATTTCTTTGTCTAATTAATTTACCAAATTTACAGCATTTATCTAATCGGATTGCTAAGCCTTCGAATCGGCGGCAAACACTTGATAGCTTTTTAGCACACTAAAACACAGTTTTTATGACACACTAGATTAGAATGCCAGAGTCTAGAGGTCAATTGTTTCATTCCCGTCCGACCAATCCACAAACGTCACCATCTTTAATGTACCTTGCTAGGACTGCGGCTACCGGGCAGCCGCAAACACCGCCTTGCAATTGTGTACCAATAGTTCTCCCCTTTTGTGCTACTAGCTCTACGTCGTGTATTTGCATCTACTTCCTCGTTGTAATTGATATGAACCGGTTGTTTGGTTCTGGAAAAGCCAAAACTACTCCGAATCTGACAGATATAACGGTGAACGTTGATGAACGAAATGAATCAGTCGAGAAGAAAATTGCCAAGCTCGACGCGGAAATTGCATTAATATCAAAGCAGATGAAGAACATGAGAGAAGGGCCAGCTAAAAACAGCCTCAAACAGAAAGCGCTACGCTTACTACGACAGAAAAAAGCCTACTGTCATCAAAGCGAACAACTTGCCAACCAAAGCTTTAATATAGCCCAAACGGATTTCGCTATCAAGTCACTTCAGGACACTAAGTCGGTCGTCAGTGCTATGGAGGTCGGAAGAAAACAAATGAAACAGGGAATGAAAAAAATAAATGTTGATAAAATATTTGTGAGTCATTTTCTATCACGGTTTCGTTTTATTATCCTCTGAAACAAATGTACCTGGGATTCCAGGCACAGCTACCTCTTCGTCTCCGTTCGATGAGTGGATCGCCGTTTAAGTGTATTGGGTTATATTAAGCATTTTTTGAAATCCAAATTCTCTCCTTTTTTATTAAACGATAGCCTCAATCTTCTTGCTAAACAACCTTGACACATTATCTGGACCCATTTTGCTTCCGAATTCTTCCGTTTTGCTCTCTTGTAATGTTCCTTATCAGGTGCGACATAGGTCTGTTCAGGTCAGTATCCAAAGACGAAAATAGGCTTCCGCCTAAAAGGTGTCTTGTCTAATGTAGCGGAAATCAAAACAGCGCCTCTAGTACTTACTGTTGAGATAGCTAGACTGACTTCTAATACCCGACCTAGAGATCGTCAACATATTCCCGCTGTCATGATTCAGATTAAGATGACACTGGAACGATAGGAAAATGCCATGAGTGTTCTTCATGAGCGGGTCGTTGCGACAGGAAAATATATGGTGCTACGAGGTACGAGGTTACTAATGTCAGCGTTCAGCCAGACCTCCCATTAGCGGATAGGTTAAAGCTAACAGAGGCCATTAAGGACTTCAAAACCAGGCGAGCGGCCGGTGAACAAGGTCTCCAGTTGGTGGGTTTTCGGGTGGTCAGCCGGCGGTCTGTTTCCGCACTACCAGTGCCAGTCCTGGTAGCGCACGACTCAGGGCTGGACATTACGAATACCATCAGATAGTGCTAAACAATGTGCGGAGCCTAAGGAATAAGATGTGCGAGATAGGTCTGCTTGTAGAAGGGTCTCATCCCGCTATACTTGCATTCACTGAAACGTGGCTGTCTCTGGACATCACGGACGGTGAAGTACATCTGTCTGGCTACGCACTATTTAGATGTGATCACTTCGTTGGCCGACAAGGCGGGGCATTGCGCTTTATGTTAGGCGTGAACTTGACGTTTCACGTACCTACATGTTTCAGTCGGCAGATAAAACTGTCGAAGCGCTGTCGGTAGTGGTTAACACTTCCTCAGCTCAACTTAAAGTCGTACTTATGTATAGAAGCCCTGGGAGTGCGTCCAAAGAGGTGCTTGATTTTATTCGCTCCCAATCCGCAAACAGGTGTTTGATACTCGGGGATTTCAATCTACCAGAAGTTTGCTGGGCAGATATTTCTTGCAACGGCGGAGGGTGCTTTCGGGGCAGATCTACTTGAGCTTACGCTACAAGTACCGTTGCATCAGTTCGTGGACCTCCCCACTAGGTACACGGACGCCCAAACCCCGTCTATTTTGGATCTAGTGTTTGCCAAGTCACTAGACTTCGTAGGTGACATCACTTACAGCTCTCCCTTAGGCGCTAGCGAACATGTTTGTTTATCGTTCAGGTGGCGTCGCCAGAGCATTGCTAAGCCATTTCCAAACATATGGCGTGATAACTATCAGGCAATGCGTACCAAGGCTGCTGGGATGCGTTGCGAAATCTCGGTAGTTGATACGGTTCAGGCGGCCTGGGATAAATTTAAATCTGATCTCACGGAAGTGTCTACTCCCTACATTCCGCTTGCGAGGAGAAAGGAAACACAAGCGCGGCCGCCGTGGATAGATACCCCTGGCAAGCGCCTGCTCCAGAAGCGTTCTCTAGGTGCTGAAGCACCTACCGTGCGGCTCCATCAACTAGCACCTATGATAGATTTCGCGAGGCTAGAAATAGGTGTAAACAACACTTAAGGAAAGCTCGGCTGGCGTACAAAATGGAATTGGCTGATGGAGCTTCGAAAAATCCGAAGAAGTTCTTCGCTTATGTTAAGAGACGCTGTGGTTCAACTTCGGTAATCCCAGCTTTGATGCGGGCCGATGGAACTCGTGCGTATGCGGACTCAGATAAGGCTCGTATACTTGGGGAACAGTATGCAGGGGCTTTTGTACTTGAGGCCGCGTTGACTAGCCTTGAACTTGTCCCGGAGTACTTGAGGGTTCTTATTTAGCTGAGTTTACTGTGGTGGAAACGCAAGACGTTAAACTGCTGCAAGAACTGAACCCTTCCAAAGCAGCTGGACCTAATTCAATTCACTCGAAGCTTCTGCATGAGTTGGTGGTGGAACTAATTGGACTACTGACGATGGTGTTTCAGAAGTCCCGTGACAGCTGTACATTAGCTTCTGAATGGGAAGTTGTCATCTGTCCTGTCTTCAAAAATGGCGACAGGAGTCTGTCAACCAATTACAGGCTAATCAGTCTGACTAGCATCGTGATAAAACTGCTTGAAAAGCTGGAAGGTCACCTGAATAGATTTAATCCACTCAGTAGTGCACAACATGGATTCCGGAAGGGGTTTCCGTGTCTGACGAAATTGTTGGTCGCTCGTAAAGCTTGGGCCGAAGAAGTGGACAATGGCCACGTAGCGGATGTGCTTTTCGTTGACTTCTCGAAACTATTTGATTAGGTACCACCTTTGACGATATCACAAAGCTGAGCTCCTACTGCGTAGCTGGCCGCGCCCTTCTCTGGGTATCTGCAATCTTGCAAGGAAGAGAGCAATATGTACGTGTGGGTCGCAGCTTGTCCTTTAAGCAAGCGGTCCTTAGCGGTGTCCCACAGGGCTCGGTGCATGGACCGATGCTGTTCTCCATCTACGTAAACGAGCACTCTGGGGAGCTTGCAGTATCATCCTTATTGTTTGCTAATGACCTTAAGCTATGGAATGCTGTAAATGTCCCTGGGGGTTCTGAGGCCATACAACATGCACTGGACAGACTCTGGGACTGGTTTACTTTGTGGCTACTGCCCATTATTCAGGCTGTGTTCCGTCCTTCATATAGGAGCAACTTCCCACCTTCGAAGAATGTGCTCGGTTGGGTCGAACTGCCTCTTGTCTCCAACCAGGTAGACCTAGGCGTCGTCCATGCCCCGTCTTTGCATTCTGGTGACAATTGGAAGAAGGTCGCAAGTAGGGGTTTCAGAATGTTGTGGTTAATACGCCGTTCTTTCGGGGTCTTAACTGCCGACATATTTGTGGAGCAGTTCCCAGTTTTCGTTTGACCCCATCTGGAATACTGCGTCCAGCCTTGCTCGCCCTGCCCTCTTCGGAACACAATGGAGATCGGGAGTGTTTTGAGGAAAGGTACCAAATTGGTCGAGGGGTTACGGAGGAAATCGTACTCTGAGCGTCTACTTAGCTTGGATATGTATTCAATGAACTACCGACGACTTCGAGGAGACCTACTCCTTACTTGCCGCATTTTAACAGGGAAAGTTGAACCGGAATTGAGCTGGCTATTTAGCCCGGCTAGATTGCCTTGTCTTCGCGATCATCCCATGAAGCTACACAAGCCGCGTTCTGACCGGATCAGGGTGGAAACTCGGTGATCGCGTAGAGTTATCGAGCGCTGGAACTCGCTTCCAGAAAGTGTAGTCAGTGAACCTACGGTTAAGGGTTTCGAGCGTCAGTTAGACGCTCTTGGGTGGCAAAACGAAACCTTTCCCTTCTCCTGACCATATCTATCTTCAAACTTTTAGTTCTCTTTCGGTCATTCCCTTCACTCTTTGTTGTCATCATTCATGTTAATGACTTTCATTCCCCTTTATCTTCCATTTACTTTCTACTTCTTTCTTACTTGACGTAACCTACACAGCGCGGACTGCTAGTGCAGGGAACGTGGGCAGTAATTGGTTGACTAGGGTGTGTTTCGGGTTTTTCGTTTTAGATCTATCAAGAACTAGCACATTATCATTTCCTGGCTCAACGATTTGCTCAAGAAGGAACACAAGGGATTTTCCTATCGTTCCAGCCCATCTAAATCTGAATCTGAGGTCTTGATGGATCTGAAACGAAACACCCGTACCACCCTGGTCAACTAAGTACTGCCAACGCTCAAGTGCAATTTGGATAGGAACTGTACAAAAATTCGCATGTGTGTTCCTTCTTCAATGCGTCGTTGAACCAAGATGGAGTTCGCGGGAGCGATTTGTAACCGAGGAGAGCCAAATCAATACACACGAATCACATCACGGTCAACCGATCAATGCCCACGAGGCCTGCACTAGCAGTCACCGCTGTACCGGCCACGAGAATAAGAATAAAGGCTAAGAGAAGGGAATCAACAAAAACAGAATAATGATAATTGTGGTGCAGGAGAGAATGTGTGGATAGGATAATAATAATAATAATAGATGTGAGAAGCCAAGGAAATGGATTTAGAAATTAAGAACCAAACGGAAAAGTCTGAAACTGCGACCCAAGGGCGTCGAGTCGATGTTTAAACTCCTTCACCGCTGGTGCTAATACTACTTCGCTAGGTAGTGCGTTCCATTGGTCGATGACTCTGCGTGGTAAACGAAAATCAGCTCTAACGTGATCAGATCTGGGCTTATGCAGCATCAGGGGGTGACCACGAAGAGATTGTATCTCAGCCAGATGGTACAGTCTAGTTAGATCAAGCCCAATATTGCCGGTCAATATACGGTACGTATAAATCACGTCTCCCCGTAGGCGCCTCGCGTGTAGCGAAAACATCTCCGCTGGCAGTCCGCTCTGTGTATGTCACGTGAAGTAAGGAAGACATAGAAAGGAAAATAAGGCTAACGAGGAAGGAAAGTCGTTTAAATGAAGAATAGCACCAGAATGAGGAGAATGACAGCATATGAACTCAAAGTTGGAAAATGGATATGCTCAGGAGAAGGGAAAGGTTTCGTTTTGCCACCCAAGAGCGTCTAACTGACGCTCGAAACCCTTAACCGTAGGTTCACTGACTACACTTTCTGGAAGCGAGTTCCAGCGCTCGATAACTCTACGCGATCACCGAGTTTCCACCCTGATCCGGTCAGAACGCGGCTTGTGTAGCTTCATGGGATGATCGCAAAGACAAGGCAATCTAGCCGGGCTAAATAGCCAGCTCAATTCCGGTCCAACTTTCCCTGTTAAAATGCGGCAAGTAAGGAGTAGGTCTCCTCGAAGTCGTCGGTAGTTCATTGAATA